GGGGGGGGGGCAGGATCTTGCTCAGAGGCACTGACATACAGCCTGGCCAGCAGGACTACTACGTGGTCATCCTGTGTCCCTCCGAAATGGATATCCAGGTGCGCAGGGTATTGCAGATCCCCCTGTGGTCCCAGCGGGTCATCTACCTCCAGGGCTCTGCCCTCAAGGACCAGGACCTCATGCGAGCCAAGTGAGTGCCAGCCAGGGCAGCACAGCCAGACCTAGGCCTTAGGCCACTGGGAGCCCCCCAGGTAGAAGTAGGGCCCTGTCAGGCATAGCTTGACACAGGGCCTAAAGCAGGCAAGGGTCCCAGGTGGAGGCAGGGCCAGGGTGGGTGGAACATTCATGGTCTAGATCCAGGAGAGTGGGACCCTAGAGCCTAGCTCCATCCTTACATGCTAGTCACTGCCAGGCAGCCTAACAAGCACACCTGGCCAAGCTGTGCTCTTCTGCTGTGAGTCTTGTCTTTGGGCACTTTTCCCTCTCTTGCTCTGAGTCTGGGGATTTTCTCTGTCAGGTTTCAGGGAGCTTAAAATAGACCAGGGGTGGAAAATACCGGCTGCTGAGAGTCAATGGTGAAGACTCGAGGGCTGAGGGTGGCTCTTGATTTAAAGACAAGTTGACAGAGTGACTCGAGGTGACAGGAGTGTGCTGTTAACGTGTAACTGGAATGTGCTAGTGCACCATCTGGGACTCTTCCTCCAAAGCCTCCCATGCCACATTTTCATTCCAGAAGGCTCCTGCACCCTTTGTTGTGTGGTACAGGTGATACAGGGCCAAGGGCAAGCAGGACAACAGCCCAGGTCCCTCATCCCCAGAAATCTGAGCTGGCGCTCTCATGGATGCAGCCTCCTATCCATGAGACTGTAACTGTGTCCAGCTCTAGACTGGCAGATGGGACAGAGGAAGTGGCAGCCAGGCAGGGAGGCACCCATAGCTTTTATGGAGCAGTGTGAAGCTTTACTGCCCTGCTTGTGAGGTAAAGGTTTCTCCAGCTGGCTCTTAGCAGGGCTGAGTTGTTTCTGTAGCCAGGCTCCTGGGAACATGGAAGGAAACAGAAATGACCACCAGGGTCCAGGCTGCTGAATGGTCAAGCAGAAGAGGGGACAGGCTCTGTGCTCCAGCACAGGGTGGATGGGATCCCAGGAGATGGGCCCCAGATGCTGAACAGTGCCCCATGTAAAGTCTGCTGCCCTAGAATGTAGGACCCACTCTTTCTGACCGTAAGCCTCTGACAGCTGCAAGCAGAGGCTAGGGTGTGGGTGGATGTGACAGAGCCACATCTCAGGCACCATCATGCCACTGTTTGGAAACCCTGGACAGTCCCCAATGGCCAATGGGTGTCTCCAGGGCAGGCTTGGCTCATGGGCCTAGTTCAGCATCTGAACTTGGACTCTACTGTGGGTGTCCAAGCATCCTGACTTGTCCAGAATGTTCCAGAAGAATCTGGGAAGGCTGGGAGACCTGGGATGCACTGTAGAATTCTATGGTGGGACGTACTGGGCCAGGCCTGACTACCTCAGCAAGGTCCCCTGCTGGGCCATCCTTCCCTCACCCATCACACACCTGGCCCCTCCTCACCTCCTCACCTCCTCCTGGGGAGGCCCTGGTCCATAGCCTCACTCAGCAGCTGGTGCTCCGCAGGATGGACAACGGAGAGGCCTGCTTTATCCTCAGCAGCAGGAATGAGGTGGACCGCACAGCTGCGGTGAGTTCAGGGTCACTACCCACCCCAAGCCTGCACTGTCTACCTACCCTTAGCATTGGCCCTCCAACACCAACCACACCTCCCCCCAGGATCACCAGACCATCCTTCGAGCCTGGGCTGTGAAGGACTTTGCTCCCAACTGTCCCCTCTACGTCCAGATCCTCAAGCCCGAAAACAAGTTTCATGTCAAATTTGCTGGTGTGTATGGGGACTTGTGGCATAAGGGCGTGCAGGCTACAAGGGGGTGGTGGGTATGGGTGAAGTATTCCTCTCAGAGGCTCAAGGAGGTTTCACCCTTGGGATAACATGCCCTCCAGATGTCTGTATCAGAATTGGGGAGCTAGTAGGGGTAGTCTTGACAGATGACCTGGCCTCCACCTGGGGCAGAGGTCTGTGGGAGCAGGAGCCAGAGTTGGTGTGGGAGGCAAGAGCACTATCTAATCAGAATCTCTATGAACAGGGCCCACGATGGGCACCTGGGGGACAGGTAAGGGCACCTGGGTAGAGCTGTCGTGACCCCCAGAAATGCAGGTGCAGCTCACAGAGGTGCTGAACTCCTGCTTAGTAGGAGTTAGCTATTCGGGGAGGGATTCCAGGGGCACCACACAGGAGAGAGCCTTCACACGTTCAGAAAGACATGGGTGCTTTGGGGAGGGACCACAGACAGCAGGGGTGGCAGGCCCTGACCCTGCAGTCCCCACAGACCACGTGGTATGCGAGGAGGAGTGCAAGTACGCCATGCTGGCCCTGAACTGCATCTGCCCGGCCACCTCCACCCTCATCACCCTGCTGGTGCACACGTCCCGTGGCCAGTGAGTGCCCTGTGCCAGACCGACTACCACGCCCTGGCCGTCCCGATCAACCCCACAAGGCAGGGCGGGCTCCCTGGAGGAGGAGGGCATGTAATGGGCAGAGGTCTGGCACAGGAAGGGGTCCAGGGAGATGCAGGGTGCATTTAACAAATTGGGTAGGAGGGGCAGCCCTATCTGAGGGTGACAGCCCCCTTACCCTACTACTCTGGTAGGGAAGGACAAGAGTCTCCAGAGCAATGGCAGCGCATGTATGGGCGCTGCTCAGGCAACGAGGTGTACCACATTCGCATGGGTGACAGCAAATTCTTCCGAGAATATGAGGGCAAGAGCTTCACCTATGCAGCCTTCCACGCACACAAGAAGTACGTGGGACTCGGGGCTGAATATGGGTTTGGAGCCTGCTGTTCCCACCACCATTGGGCTGCTCATCCTCCCCACCCAGGGCCAGGTCAGCATGGGTGGAACCCTGGGCCAGGAGGTCACAGAGTCTCTCAGCCAAGGGCAGTGTAGCCTGACATTGCTCACCTGGTGAGGATGGCCAAGTCAGGACATCCCAGAACAAGGTTCATGTAAAAACCTGCCACATAGCCACTGTCCTCTGGAGCGTCTCCTGAGGCTGGCCTGGGGTCCTCATGTCCCCAACACCTGAGCAGAGGGCTTGTCCAAGAGGTCCATGAGGGTCCCTGGAAGGAGAATGGGTTGTTCAGGAGGGCAGCCTGAGCCACGGGGTGCTAAGAGCGGCCCTGAGCTCCAGGCCATGTCTGCTCAGGTATGGCGTGTGCCTCATTGGGCTGAAGCGTGAGGAGGACAAGAGCATCCTGCTGAACCCGGGGCCACGGCACATCCTGGCCGCCTCCGACACCTGCTTCTACATCAACATCACCAAGGAGGAGAACTCAGCCTTCATCTTCAAGCAGGAGGAGAAGCAGAAGAGGCGGGGTCTTGCAGGGCAGGCACTGTACGAGGGGCCATCCCGGCTGCCCGTGCACAGCATCATTGCCTCTATGGGTGAGCTGGTGTAGCATGCAGGCGGCAGATGGGTGGCTTCCGAGGGTGTGTTCCACAGCCTACCTGCCACTGGGTGGGAGACCTCGACCCCTGAGACTCAGCTCTTTCCTGGACAGTGTGAGCCACTCCAGGCCTCAAGTTGTGGATCTGTCCAATTGAGGTATCCCCACCTATCAGAGTTTTGGTGAGCATCAGTTACCTGGGTAACTGACAGCCCGTGAGGCACTATGGTATATAAACCAGAGGCCCATGTAGTTCTCTCTGCCCAGAGCATCCCTTGAATAGATGAAGGCCCTGGTGGCATCTACTAGGTGTAGATTATCTGAAGTTAGCAACAGCTTAGCTTCAGGGCTCTGCCCAGGGACTTCTGTCTTCCCATAACTGGTTCAAGTGACCTCCTGAGCAGGGCTGGGCCAAGACTTAGAAGGTAATACCTGTGACATATGTCATCCCCTACCAGCCCTTTAGGGGACAGTGGGGAACAAGGATAGGTCATTCAGCCTCTCAGGCCACAGACCCACAGGCTCTCCAGGGCAATGACCGTCTCATGTGGTGCTAACCCCAAGCTGTGACCCACAAAACAAGTTGACACCAATCAGCGCCCACTGCATGCCTGGCCTGAGTGGTGTCCAGGGACCATGTGCTTTGACTCTGTGGTACACATTCTCAGTCACGTGTGACTGTGACAGCAGCTGCCTGACTCTGAAGTTGCTGCCCCTGCAGTAGTAACAGCTTGCCTTGATGGTCAGGCTTGAGGAAGAGCCTGGGGTTGGGGTTGCTGCTGCCCAGCCCAAACTCTATCCATTGCTTGCTATTTGCTCACCCCACGCCTGAGACAGAGCGACTCGGGAAGCCCTTCCACCCACTTCTCAGGTCTGGCCCACAGAGGCTGTGGGTAGTAGCATCCTTGAGCCAACTACCAACCAAAGCTAACAACCAGGGGCTGAAGTGGGAACAACAGAGACCAGCAGGTGCAAAACAGCCTCGCTGCTCCTGTGTTACTATGTGGCTGCCCTCCCTAGCCCGGTCCTCAGAGCAGAATGACCAGTTTCCCATGAGCCCCAAGGGCCCCCACCTCCAGGAAGGCAGAGTCTGTCACAGCAACCAGTTTGGTTGGGGCCCTGGAAGGTCTACTCGGCATCACCACCACTCAGGGCCCGCCCTTGTCCTAAAGGGGAAACTGAGACTCAGGGACATCCTGAAATTACTAAGGCCACACAGCTGGCCTAGAGAGTGGCATGGGAAGGGCTGCTGGTCAGGTTCAACCCCTCTGTCCAGGGACAGTGGCCATGGACCTGCAGAATACAGATTGCCGGCCCTCCCAGGGTGGCAGCGGTGGGGGCAGCGGTGGCGGCGGCGGCAAGCTGACTCTGCCCACGGAGAATGGCTCTAGTAGTCGGCGCCCCAGCATTGCACCTGTTCTGGAGCTGGCAGACAGCTCAGCGCTGTTGCCCTGTGACCTGCTGAGTGACCAGTCAGAGGATGAGGTGACGCCCTCAGACGACGAGGGGCTCTCTGTGGTTGAGTGAGTGCTGAGTGGAGCTCAGCTTTCAGTGGGAGGGAAAGGTCCCTGGTGCTAGGTATAGTGGCAATCCCTGCTCTGCAAATAGGGTCTTCTGGGTGGAGCCCCAAAACACAGGGAATCAGAGCAGAGGTCGTCCACCTCACCCCAATCCTAGTCCTGAGAGAGCACTTGAGAGCATGCTGGCAGGGGTGTACTAGGCTGGTACCCTTCCTTGGCTGGAGTCAGAGATAATGGGGCTAGAGTGGATAACTCCTAGACCCAGAGTGGATAATATAGGGTAGCATATACACCATACCTGCTCAGCCACTGAGATGTCTGCCCTTGGTTACTCCATGAGTTGATATAGAGCCAGGTAGTGACCCACAGACATTCCTGAGCTAGTGTAACAGCTGGGTCAGCTCCTCTTGGTACTGTGGGGTGTGGCCCACCCCATTTCAGGTGGGTATTGTTGGGGCAGGGTCTGTAGAAGTCACCAGTAGGTGATTTGTCAAGACCTTGTCCTAACTCAAGTGGCCATCCTGGCTGCGGTCTGAGGCCAGATCTTCCTGGTTGAGACCAAGAGGGACAATTGTAAGTCCTCCATAGTTTAGCTACCTTGATCTCAGTCAGGACATCCTCCTGATGGGAACTGTTCTAAAGTTGAGGAGTCAGTGGTGGGACTCCCAGATCCTGCAAGTAGAAAGGACATGGGTCCCTGTGGCTGTGTCCCTTAAGGCACATGGAAACACAAATAGAGGATTGTGGCCAGGACCCAGTGTCAAAGCATGGCATGGCACTGTAGGGTGGGAAGGAGAGGCAGCCTTCTGAGAAGCTAGTCTGGAAACACAGACCTGTCTGTGTACCTGTCTGTCACCTGGGGTGCTGTGGGCATCACTCTGGGGACTGGGGATTACAGCCCTGGTGTTCTCAGCTTCCAGGCTCCAAAGGGAGAGAGAGAGAATATGAATGTATGTTTGGGTGTATGGGGGTGTGTGTGTGTGTGTGTGTGTGTGTGTGTGTGTTTGTCTGTGTGCATGTGGTTTGTGTATGTACATGTGTGGAAGTGGGTGGGAACTGCTTGTGTGTCCATGTGTCTTTGTGTGCATGTGTGCAAGTGCACACGCATGTATACGTGTGCATGCATCTGTCCCTGGTTTTACTTCCATGTGTATGTATGTAAATGTCTGCACTGAGTATGTTGTGTGTGGAATTTTTCTTCCGGGACATAAGGGGTACAAACTAGCCTCCTGTCCCCCATCTGAGTAGCTGAGGGCTGACTGTTGGGAGGACCATCCCAGCCCTCCTTGGGTCCTGCAGAGGGGAGCAGCCACAAGTGGCCCCTCTGTACCTCATGTCAGCCTGAACCACTCTAGTACCTTGGTGTACCTGTCCTAGTCCTAGCCTGGGAAGCAGGGGCAGGTCTCTGAGGTCTCATGGGGCTGTCCCGGGTTGGTGTAGGAAGCAGAAGATGGGAGACAGCAAGCCATCTCTGCTAGTACCAGGTGACTCCATGAATATTCCAGGTAAAGGGTAGCTTTGAAGTGGCCTGGCCACGCTGCCATGGTGCCATGCTGCGGTCCCTATCTTCATCCAGGTATGTGAAGGGCTACCCACCCAACTCACCCTACATTGGCAGCTCCCCGACCTTATGCCACCTCCTGCCTGTAAAAGCCCCCTTCTGCTGCCTCCGGCTAGACAAGGTAAGGCTGAGTCTCAACAGCTTTGGCCATCTGCCATCCCGCTTTGGTGGCTACCTGCTATCCCACTTTGGTGTCCATGTAATTTGGTGCTGCTGCAAAATCGAACAGGAGCCAAACCCTCCCTGCCTCATCCCACCGGCCTGCTCTCTTCCTCCTGCTCTGATCTCACTGCAGCCTTTTCTGAACAGGCTGGAAGCAGATTAGGACCACTGAGCCCTGAGACCCCAAACACCTTGCATGCTCCCAGATGAGAAGGACTACTTCTCTCCTCATATAACCTGTCCACAGAGTCAGGCAGAGCCAGGGTCTCCAGTCAGGGGGAGACTCCAAAGGCTTTGTCATTCTTTAAGCCAGCACATGCCTGTCACTTCCCCTTTCTGCCTTCCTTGGGATCGATCCCTGTTGACCTCTGACGAGCTTGGATGCCGTGGTTAGTGTGATAGAAGTCAATCCAGGATACAGCCAGCCCATGCATCTGGCCTAGCACCCTGAGGCAGGGCAGGGCACAGCTGGCAACATCTCTGGCCATGCTATCCCACTGTGAAAGTGACTGTTTCTATGGTGCAGTGACTGCAGAGATATGGGCGTGGTAGCTTCTAACCTGCCCCACTCTGAATCAGCTTTCTTAATTCTAGGTCCCTCTGATAGTCTCCTTAGCATGTTACCAAGGGGGAATCATGCTTTGCATTCATGTTGTAGAGGCACGTGGCCTCTTGTTTTACTCGGGGGCCATACTCTGTTTCATGTTGCTTAGGGATCTGGATCCTTTGATGCTTGCCAGCCTCTTATATTTCCTCACTGTGCATGCTCAGCTATAGACTGGAACCAGGCACCTCCCACAGAGGTCTCACTCCATTTAGGGAAAGGGGCTTTAGGAAACAGGATCAAATGCTGCCTGTGGCCTTGATTCTGGGCTCTGTGGTGGGCAGAGCTAGGCAGTGCATGTGTGTGAACATGCACACCCATATCCACAGACACACATACATGTGCACACATGACTTGGCCCTCTGTATTTCTGTAGCTAAATGCTGCACTGGCTGGCTTCTACCAAGCTTTGTGGGACACTGACTTTGGGGGCCGCTAAATGGATGAGCACTGGTGGCTGGTGGCCCCGTATCTCCCCACGTGTTACACGTTGCATGTCCCTGCTGTTGTTGGCCCACCAGCTTCTCCCATAGCCAGGGTGGTGCCCAGCTTGGGTTCCCCCATGTCCCCAGGGATGCAAACACAACAGCTATGAAGATGCCAAAGCCTATGGGTTCAAGAACAAGCTGATTATCGTCTCTGCTGAGACAGCAGGCAATGGGCTCTACAACTTCATCGTACCTCTGCGCGCCTACTATCGGTCCCGCCGGGAACTCAACCCCATCGTGCTGCTTCTGGACAACAAGTGAGACAGTGTGCAATCCCCATGATGACCCACTTTCTGTTCAGGGACTGAGGGCCCATCCCCTGCTGTCTTCTGTGGCCATGCCTCCTTTATCTTGCTGACCTTAGCCGCTCCTTCCTCTGGTTTCTCCTGTAACCTCTTTATGTCATGTCCCCACAACTGAGAGTCCCAGCTGGCAGGACCACAGGAGTCCCAAAACCATAGCTCCTTTCATCCAAGGACCCCAGAAGCATGACAGCCAGGGCCCAAGGTCCAGTCTTAGCATATAACTTCAGCAAGTCCAGGGCCTCAGTTTCCCCAGAGTTGAATAAGTGGCAGGCCTATTGACCTTAAATCCACCTCAGTCCCATGTTTTTTGGGCCCTAAGAGTGTGGGGAGGATAAACCACAGAGCAGGTGACACTTCCAGACTCTGCTGTCCCCACAGGCCTGACCACCACTTCCTGGAGGCCATCTGCTGCTTCCCCATGGTCTACTACATGGAGGGCTCTGTGGACAAGTAAGATGAGAACAGCCATGGCCAGAGTGCCTGCTGTCCCTCCACCATCCTTCCCCAGAGCTCCACAAATGAGCAGTTGACCCAGACCCAGGGGAAAGAAGAGGGGGGCTGAGAGGGGCTTGGTGGGGTGGGGATCCTATGGCCATACTCCTTGCCCTGTGCAGCCTGGACAGCCTGTTGCAGTGTGGCATCATCTATGCTGACAACCTGGTGGTGGTGGACAAGGAAAGCACCATGAGTGCTGAAGAGGACTACATGGCAGATGCCAAGACCATTGTCAATGTGCAGACCATGTTTCGGTGAGCATCCAAACCCATGGCAGCCAGGCCTCATAGTGAGGTCTCCACAGAAATGGATATGGAGCCATTGTGAGAACCCATAGCCCCAACCAAAGGGCCCACCAGAACCCACAGACCTGACCCTGGGACCCAACACAGATCTCACAGCCCTCACCATGGGACCTACAAGACACCCCGCAGTCATAACCATAGGACCCACAGTGGACTCCAGAGCTATGACCACAGGACCCACCAGAGTTCACAGACCTAACCACAGGACCCACAAGAGACTGCACTTCTATGACGATGGGACCCAACACAGACCCCACAGCCCTGACCCCCAGATCTACCAGAGACCAACACCCGCAGTTGTAACAATGAGGCCCACAAGAGGTCGCCCAATCATGACCACAGGACTCACCATAGACCCCACAGCACCAGGGCCTCCTCAGACCCTCAGTCCTGACAGGAGGACACCTCCCCTATCATCCCTCCCCCAGGCTCTTCCCCAGCCTCAGCATCACCACAGAGCTCACACACCCTTCCAACATGCGGTTCATGCAGTTCCGTGCCAAGGACAGCTACTCTCTGGCTCTTTCCAAACTGGAAAAGGTAAGTGGGTCCCTTCTGGTGGGCCATCCTTTGCCAAAGAGCCCAGAGACCAGGGTCAAGGGGAGCGGGCAGGGCTGTGGGATCATGGGCTTCTGTCCTGTGGGGAGCTAAAGAGAGGCTCAGCTGATGCAAGGCTTTCCTTGTGCGGCTGCTTCCCTGAGCACCTGCAAGTCAGCCCTAATCCTCTCTGGGATCAGGCAGGAACTGGTAACAGATACCTACAGCCCACCAGGTACCAGACACTGCCTCTGCCCTGGACCCCGAGGATCAGAGAGTGGGAAAAATCTCTTGCACTTCTGACCTTGGAGTTCCATGGGAGGTGTCAGCTCCATGGAGGGTATCAGCTGGGCCAGATGTGGAACTCAGGGACACAGAGACTCAGTGAGGCATTAGAGACACACTAAGGACCCAGCAACCCACTAGAATATGGGGGTTTCAGGGGTATGGGAGACAGGTATTGTCTGTGTTTTTCTGGTGTATGGTGATTGTGGCCCTGCCTCCTACCCACACAACAGATGGCCAGGCACTGGGGTAAGGGCAGTGGCAGCCATGTGTTAAGATGAGGAAGTCACACCTGCCAAGCTTGCTGCTCTATGTGAGTCCCAAGTTCAGCCTGGGCCAGTGTGTTTGTGGAGAGCTGCCGGAGGCCAGCATGGCTGACTGGAAAAGACCTAGGAATTGTCTGGACCAAGCCTGACTCCGGACATCAGGCAGAACAGACAAGCTCTAGGGTTTCTTATTGCACATGAGCACAGCACTGACCTGAAGCTAGGTCAAAGTACAAGTGGCCCATGGGAGCCTGGGGTCTGGCTGAGTCAGAGAAGCATGAGGGAGGCAGGTGCATAGAGCCCCAGACAAATGTGGCTCCTGCTGTCCAGCTTACCCACAACCCTGACCCTGCCCTGCCCAGCATCTAGGTCCACAATGGGAAAGGACAAGGTATGCCTAAATGGTTAAAGGTGCTGGTATTATGTGAAGAGAAACACAGACCACTGCCCCCCATCCCACGAGGGCTCTCCCCGTGTGACTGAGAGTAGACCAGGCTGGTGTCCAGGCATGGAGTCATCGTGGAGCCTGTATCCCTATACACAGTCACACCTGGGGCCAATCCTGCTCCTCACGGGCCTCAAGGCAGCCTGAAAATGGGTGAAGGCAGCATACACAGCAGCAACCGGCTCCCACAGCCCTCTATGTCAACAGTAGAGGGCGGGGCTTTCATCTGCTCCCTGCAGCATGGACCTGGTGGCTGACCCATCTCTGCATCCTGGACTTGTCAGCTGTTGTCCATCTCAAGGCAGTGAATGGTCCTGGGCCCATCATGTGGCTTTGTGACAGTAGGGATGACAAGGACAAGCTGAAAAGTCAGGGCACCATGGTAGTGAATTCATGGATGCTGAGGGGTTGGGATCCATAATGAATGATGTCCCGGGCAGACAAGGTAAGGAAGAAGATGAGGTGGGTTGCTGGTGCCATGGCTTCTTGGGGATGGTAGAATCCCCAGTCATGCCCATTGTTAAGGCCTGTGTATTACTGAGCACCAAGCTTTGTAGGATTGTCCACATCGAAGACATATGTCTGAATGTTTCCTTGTCTGAAACAAGGGAATGTTCTGGACAGAAACTAACATTTGAAACCCTCCCTTTCCTTCCAGTCTCTTGGGACCTGTAGGGTGATCACTTCTGTTTAGTGCTGTTCTTAGGAAAGCCAGTGGAATGTTTGAGTTCCCTCAGTGGCTCATATTCACAAGGTGCATGCTACAGTGGGAAGACGGTGGCCGTGACTGCAGATTGTCATGTGATACACCCATGTCTAGTAGCTCAAACATGCTTGGTTCTTCACAGGCCAGTAAAGCCCACACATCCCAGCCCCACTGTTCCACTCTCTGACCTGAACCTTCCCATGACACTTGCCCTCTTCTGTTACTGGAGCCCAAGGAAGGACAACATGAGAGGGGCTTTTGCCACCTTATCCTGTGTGCTTCCTTCTGTCACCGGGAAGATGTGGCTGGTAGAGGGTTCACTGATGGAAAAGTCGTCTGTAACTGCTGCTATTCCTGATGGCCTCTACGACTATTTGCCTTTGACTGAAGCAAATTCCTTATGCTATGGGAACTGTCCTTGGATGCCAGTGTGGGCTGACTTGGCCATGGGTGTCTACACTCACCTGACTTCCTTGTGGAAGCTTCCTGGAAGAGGGGCCTGGAAGAAAGCTTGCCTTCATTCCCAAGTCTATGAATAGCCCCTTCCAGGCACAGGCAGACGTGGCAGATGGGACCATGCTAAGGAACTTGAGATGGGAAGTGGTCCTCCATGTCCACGTTGGCCCCACATAATCAAAAGGGGACATGACAGGCAGGGCATCAGAGACAGGAAGAGGCCCCACTGCCGGCTTTGAAGATGAAAGAAGAGGCCACAGGCCAATGACTCTGGACATCCCCAGGAGCTGGATAAGGTGGGGAAAATGATTCTGCAGAGCCTCCAAAGAACACAAGGGCCAGCTGGCTCTGACTTCAGCCGCTGGAAGCCTGTATTAGACTTCCGACCTCGGAGCCTTGAAATGAAGTTCAGAGCCACTATACCTGTGACAGTGTGTCCCCAAAAAAACTCATACTGTGAGCCGTCAGATCCAGTGCCTGAAGCTTCATGGACCCTGTGAAGAGGGCAGTGAGCAGCAACTTGCACAGCTCACCCCTCCTGCTGACATGTTCCAGTGCCCATGACATCACTAAATATGATTCAAGATCAGTGTAGCACCCCTGCCCAGTGTGTGCGAGGCCCTAGGTTCCAAATACAGGGACATTATCTCACAGGTCCTTAGTCCCACTTTCTTTTCAGATCCCCAAACTCTCCCTAGGCTCTGGCCTTGAGTATGTCTGGGGCGATGCAGCTGTATATTCAAGCCTGCTGGCCAGAATCTGTTGGTGTATGCTGAGACACACATCCATGTACACACACCATGAACATACTACACACATGCAAGCGCATACATATGCACACATGCTCATACCACAAATGCATATAAAATGCATGCATCCACATACCAAATATACATGTACACAGATATGCACATACATACCACACATGGACACACCCTAGGTAGCCACCCATAATTCTGTGGCCACCATGATCCCATGTGCCACCTAAGGACCCCTTTCTTGCAGCAAGAACGGGAGAATGGCTCCAACCTGGCCTTCATGTTCCGCCTGCCGTTTGCTGCTGGCCGAGTGTTTAGTATCAGCATGTTGGATACACTGCTCTACCAGGTCAGCTGGGATGTGGAGGGAGGGAGGTAGGCAGGGTCCCATGATCCATGGACCAGAGCCCACAGTTGCTCTCTGTTTAAGATCTGGTCCCATTGCTCTGGACAGCCCTCCCCAGATTCCCTGAGACCTATTCCTGCTGGAGCAGCAGGTCTCACTGTTCTCAGGGATACCCTGGTACCACTCTGGGGGTCTTGGGTCCTGGTCCTTTTTAGACCTCATGTGCTGGGCTGGCAGGCAGGTGGCTTCTGAGTGTGCTGAGGCTGGAGCATCTGCCTCACGTGGCCCTGCTGCCCCACAGTCCTTCGTGAAGGACTACATGATCACCATCACCAGGCTGCTGTTGGGCCTTGACACCACACCAGGCTCCGGCTACCTCTGTGCCGTAAGTGCGGGCCAGGTATACAGTGCCGTACGTACGACACAGGCCTGGCATCCTTCTTGGGTCACTGCAGTTCTGGGGCTCTGGGTACTGCCTGCAGCCCTTTCTCAGCATAGGGCTTCCCTCTCATCGCAGATGAAGGTAACCGAGGATGACCTGTGGATCCGTACTTATGGCCGCCTCTTCCAGAAACTCTGCTCCTCCAGTGCTGAGATCCCCATTGGCATCTACAGGACCGAGTGCCATGTCTTCTCCTCTGAGGTACGTCCCCATTGCTGTATTAATCCTTACAGTCCAGCTCTGGGGACCTGTGTGTGACTGACGTTTGCCAGAGGCTCCTCCTAGGCAGGTTCAGTGTCCAAAACACAAGCCTCCAGTGAGAGCAACTGCTACTCTTGGAAGAATGGTGACCTTGGGAAGCATCGCAGACCTCCAGGGGGACTTGGTAGGGAGGGTATCAGGGGTGGTCTGGTGAAGCTAGTCTACCTGTGTGGGTAGCATGTCCACCTACCATCCTGCCCCCTGCATGTTCTGTATGGACTTTAAGAGGCTAAGATACTGGGGTAGGGACAAACATGTCCAAAGGTCCCACATAGGCCTTGTTTTCCTTTACAGCCCCATGACCTCAGAGCCCAGGTGAGCACCCCCGGGCCCCGTGTGGAGTTTCTGCTTCACCTTTGCCTCATGGAGTTCTTCCCTACCTTGATCCATGCCCATGGGAAGCAGGCAGGAAATGAAAATGTGTTGGCCACTGGACTTTGGGGGTTGGGGGGCGGGGCTCTCAGCAGTTACCATTCTCCTATAGGATGGGGAAACTGAGGCAGGCGGAAATCACTCATGGGTTTACCCACATCATGTGTACCCCTCATCCCAGCCCAGCTCCATGCACCATCAGCAGGTCCCACTGTAGCCTCCAGAGTGTCAGGTCTGCTATGGGCTGATCTGAGCACCACACCCTCATTATCCCTCTCAGTCTCTCTAAGGTACTGCCTGATGGGGTCCCCACATTTTCCCCAGCACCTCACATGCCTGCTCAGTCATTCCCAGCCCACCACACCCCGTCTCTTTTGCACTAACTCCCAAGGATGTGTTTGATGGGAACCCCTGCCCCACCTGTATATAGGGAAACTGTGATATAGACAGGGGCCCCAATGCTAGAGTAAAGCCGGGATATGCCAGGCCAGAGGGACCAGCCAGACAAGATGTGATGGCCTGGAAACGTTAAGGATCCTCTTTCCTGGGGACAGGCTGACTCCATCCTGGATCAGACTTTAAACAGATCTAGGAGGCCAGGCAGACCGGGGTACAGGTGGGAACACAGGACCCCACAGTCCTTCTGGCCTGGAGAAGGCTGGTATTCACATGTGGGTCCAGAGTCCATCTCCTTCCTGGCACCTCGAGGCACAAGGGGCCCCAGCCCATAGCCCCTCCTGCCTGCCCAGTCCCAGATCTCGGTGAACATGGAGGATTGCGAGGACACTCGGGAGGCCAAGGGACCCTGGGGCACACGGGCTGCCTCTGGCAGTGGCAGCACCCATGGCCGACACGGGGGCAGTGCTGACCCAGTGGAGCACCCGCTACTGCGCCGAAAGAGCCTGCAGTGGGCCCGCAAACTGAGTCGCAAGAGCAGCAAGCAGGCTGGGAAGGCACCTGCAGCCACAGAGTGGATCACCCAGCAGCGGCTCAGCCTCTACCGGCGCTCAGAGCGCCAGGAGCTCTCGGAGCTGGTCAAGAACCGAATGAAGCACCTGGGACTGCCCACCACTGGCTACGGTAAGGGCGGGCAGCGAGGCAGGACAGGTTGGGCCAGAGCCGGTGATGGGCATCTCACATCTGACTCCTTCAGCAGGCATGGCCACCATGGTCACTTGGGCCTGCTCAGTGAAGGGCAGAGGAGTGTCTTACACCCACCCAGTATGGAGAAGATGCAGAATAACCCACAAACTGGCTCATCTCTACCACTCTGGAGCCTCAGTTTCCCCAGCAGAAAGTAAGGGACTGGACCTAGAGAAAGAGTAGAGTGGAGCCAAGCCAGCTCCCCAAAAGCTCATGGCCTTCATTAGGGATGCAGGTCCAGTGTTCCCATTTCATGAGAGATGTGAGAGAAGGAGTTGGCAGGTCCCTGCCAGGGATAGGGCAGGGCATAGTCATTGGGAACAAGAATGGCTACCCATTCCTCTGTTCATCCCACGGCCATCATCACATTCCTGTTGCTTCAGAGTCACTCCTAGGGGAACATCGATGCCAAGAGACTTCTGTAACCATCTCCTCTTTGTGCTATTTTTGGGTAATATCTGTGTGACTTCAACCAGGCTGCCTCTGCTAATGAGGTCAAAGGTCAAAGGCCAAGATCTCTGTTCTGGCCTGTGGCCACCCCCAATCTTTTAGTGTCTCAATACTCAACCATTGCCAAGGCTCACCCTGCATTGTGATGTCTACCATCATCTGAGATGGGGGCCCTGGAGACTCCCCCAAGTAGAGGGAGCTGCCCAGGGGTCACTGGGGCTGGGCCGTGTGCCAGCTGTGCATATTGGGCATTCTGAGCATATTCACAAGGCAGAGCTAGACTTCATTAACAGGTAGGCGCAGGGAAGACTGAGACCAGGGTTTTGAGAACAGCATGACCACCCCAGGCCTTTCCCAGCCATGTGTCCAGTGTGGAGTATCCCTACAATGCCTCAGTACCCCTGCCTGGGTAACCCACTGTTCCAGGGAATTAGCCATCAAGGCTCAGCATGAGCCATGGCAAATACTACAGATGCAGAGTCCAGCCCACATGACCAAGCTCAGAACTGGTACCTGCCCTGTGTGCCCCTCAGCCTCTGCAAAACCCCCTATATGCCAGTGCTTGGCAGAGAAGGACCAGGTCCCCTTTGGCAATTAACTTGCTTCTGAGGTGGCTGGTGCTGGCCACCACTGTTCAGCATGGACGGTGTCTGCGTGCAGCTGGCCGCTGCCCTGCACCCTTTCTGCTGTGCCAGCGTGCCCACCCCGCCCACTGCTTGCTGACCTGTCTCTCTCTCTGTTTCTGTCTGTGCCTCTCCTATGTGTTCCGTAGAGGACGTAGCAAATTTAACAGCCAGTGATGTGATGAATCGGGTAAACCTGGGATATTTGCAAGGTAATTCTGCTCCAGTGGATACTGGCCACCACACAGGGGATGTGCCAACCCTTTGCCATCTTGGCTGGGCCAGACAGTGACCAGGAGAGATGAGAGGGCTTTGTGTGTCCACAGTGGGTTCTCAGACCTTCTGTCTTCCTCCTTGGTTTATTATGGAAGCCCAGATGATGGTGTCCACCCTGGCCCCAGGGCTTAACCCCAAATACTTCACCCAGCTCTGTTGTTAGGATGTGCTGTGCCATCTAACTTTGCCCTGAGTAGGCAGCAGGCCATTCCAGCAACAGCTGGCCTCTCTGGCTAGTCTCATGAGATGCCCAAAGTCCCTGTGTGTCTTAGTGAGCCTCCTGCCAGGCATGAGGATAGAAATTAGGGGTGTACTCTGTGCCAAGGCATAGACAGGATTGGACTACCCCAGGTAGACTTGGGGCTTCTGGAGAAAGCTCTTTCTGTCTGCTTGAGACGGAGCTGACCTAGTGGTTGCTTCTCATCTGCTTTAACACTGCTGAGCACCTCCTCCAAAGAGCTACCTGACACCGAGGCCTGTCAGAGCCAGAGCCAAGGTTACTTCAGGGCCTTCAGCACCTCCCCAACAAACAGGTCTTCTGGGAGATTTAGGGGTGTCTGGGCCCAAGTAAATGTCAGTTTAGCTGGGTCCTTTTTTTTCGAGGATGGCATGGGCAGCCACAGAAGCGAAGTGTTGGCATCTCCTAGGCTTGTGGTTTTCCTCATCCTGCCACCCATGACAGCAGTCATGGGAACTGGGCCCTCTGCTGGCCACTTGAGGTTCTGATCTGGGCCTGGTGACTTCCATGAACCAAGCATACCCTGCACCCAGCTACATCTGCTTCCTGTGTGGCTCCTAGGCAAAGGTGGGCAGATGAGGGCTTGGGCAGCTCCTGCAGGATCACAGGGTGCTGTTGGGTGCTCACTGGAGAAAATGTGCTGGAACTTGGCAACAGGGACTCACAGGACCCTATGTGCAGCATGGAGTGTTGTCAGGATGCATGGCCAGAGTGTCACAACCTGCTCATATCCAGTGTGGGGCTCGTTGTGCACAGGAGGCCGGAGAAAGATCACAGCCCTAAAGTTATACTGGTTTTGAGCTGAGCAAGTCGAGGCTCAGGTTAGGAAGCTCCAGCTGCATGGGGAAATGGGCATAGATACCTAGGGCTTAGGTCTGGGAGGTGAGGGAAGCAGAGCTGCTACAGAGGTCTAACCTGTTGCGAGTTTCCATTCTAGAAGTGCATCAAGCCAGCTTTGTCCCCATCCTACCCCTGCACCTGCTCCCTACCAAGCATGTGGATGCTAAGGCTACCTTAGGGCAGTTGACTTGCTCTCCTGGGCCAAGCAGTTGGAGTCAATACCACAAAGCTGACCACAGCCCCACCCTGGCATGGCAGCTGGGATTTGGCATGGTTCCCTCAGCTTAGCAACATAGAAGCATGAAGCCAGGCCTAGTCCTGCCCTCCCATGGGCTTTGCTAATGTCAGACATTCCCAGCTCTGTCCCTGGTTGGGGAACATTGGTAGCCCAGGGCTCAGGCCTAAAGAGGGAGGATCCAGGCGCTTCCTCTCATAGCCAGGGCTTCTGACCCCACCTGCAGGATGGCTGTCTGATGGCCCTGATATTCACGTATCAGTAGCTATGGTCTGGGGTGTTGTGAACATGACTGAATACGCCTGCTCCCGCACACTCCCTGCTGTCCCTGCAATGCCCACCCCAGAGCTGCCCGAGAGACTTGGTCCCAGAATAACACACTTCCCACTTGGCTCCCAGCATGAGCCACATGCCATGGGAGAAAAGCAAAAACTGACACTCATGGGGCAGAACAGCACCCCCATATATGGAGAGCGGGCCACCAGGCCATCCTACGCTGCAGTAGACAGAGGTATTGGCTCCATTTGAACTACTCCAGGTACAGACTGTTTGAGGTACAGGAACCCCCACTTCATAGAAGTATTCTTTGCCATATTCCCTCATCTTGGGGCTGCAGCTCTGAGAGCCAAGGCATGCCCTACCCTGGCCCAGCTGACTACTTGGCAGCTTCTTCAGTTTCACGGGGGAGTCAGATATGTCTAGCAAGACAAAGGGTAAAGAAAAATGGAAGGGGGTGGGCAGAAGGATGTCCTGCCCCAAGCTACCTTCATTTTGTGTGGCCTTGAACATGAAGGTGGTAAACTGTATGTCTCCATGGTGCCCTGCTAGTCAAGCACAGATATCAACTATGTCACTGGCTGCTTCTCCAGAACCACCCACAATCCTAGGGGGTCACATTCCATGATCACCCTGGGGCCATCGCTGGTCTCTCTCCCTGGAAGAACAGCAGCATAACCACAAGCAGGAGGGAATGACCCTGTTCTCAGATCGGTGAGATTAGAGGTGGCCTGCCCAGTCCCAGGGACGGGGCACCAGCAGAGCACCTCAGGGGGTGATAGGAAGGGCCTGAACAGCTTCTGGAGGGCGTGTAGGGGTGTGTGTGTGTGTGTGTGTGTGTGTGTGTGTGTGTGTGTGTGTGTAGGTGTTGTATGGCTGTATGGGGGAGGGTACTATAGGACTGTAGGTGTGTCATATGTGCAGGTGACCAGTAGTATTTATGGGTACACACAGGTATATGTACAGGTGCATGTATGTAGGGTATGCACAGGTGCTTGCAAATGTAGGTATACATAGGTGTACGCCTGAGTGTACACAGTTATAGATGCAGGTGAAGGCATGTACAAGTATACTCGGGTGTTGTGTGGGTTTGTGTGCATGTGGGCGTATGCACCTGCCCATACAGATTTGTAGGAAGCAGGCATGTGCAGGTGTGCTCGGTGCCTCTGCTCAGTCAGCACCCCCACCTCCCACTGCTGAGATGTCATCTATGGTTGGCTGTCAGCTGAGCAAGCTGCCCGGGAGAGTGGGAGCCAGTGTTCTGGTGTTCCCTTCGGCTGAGCTTTGCCCAGTGCTGGCAGGAGCTGAGGACAGATGTCAGGGAGGACCAGTCAGTATATGGCAAGAAAGGCTGGAGAGATAGCTCCTCTGGGTCCCTGGGGCCCAGCAGAGCTGTGCAGGGTGGGGTTGGGTGATGCCTGGGCTATGTCCTTTGCAGACGAGATGAATGACCATCACCAGAACACCCTTTCCTATGTACTCATCAACCCCCCACCAGACACGAGGCTGGAGCCCAATGACATTGTGTGAGTACAAAGTATTGGCCCTCCCAGCATCAGGCCTGGGGCTCCAGGTCCCACAGATGGCATAGGTCTGGTGTGGCTGGCTACCTGGCTTGCCATTCCAGAGCCTTCCTTGGTATTTTCCTTCTGCAGGTACCTCATTCGCTCTGACCCCCTGGCCCATGTAAGCAGCAGCTCCCAGAGTCGGAAGAACAGCTGCAACAACAAGCTCTCATCCTGTAATCCTGAGACCCGTGATGAGACACAGCTCTGAGCAGATGACACACATCTGCTGGGATGGACAAGCAGACACAGAACACAGAGGGAGCATTGTCACACACTGGCCTGGACCGAGCAGGCTGCACTATGGCTATATGGTGGCTCCAAGACTTGCCCCTAGGAATGAAATCCTCTTAGTGGAGCCAGTTGAGAGACCGCTGGACCACTCTGGAAGCTGACATGAGGCACTTTTTAACCTCTTTTTACAAATGTGTATGATTTGCATCTCTTTACATAGCTGTACCACAACTCGTGGCTTGGATCTGGCCACAGTGTGAGGCCAGCAACAGAGAAGGGACAGAGCAGGGACTGGACACTACCCTGGCTCCCACCATCCTGCATGGCTTCACTCAGTAATTTCTGAAGGGGTGCTGGGGTGCATGGGAGAAGGAAAGACTGGAACTGGGGAGTTGAGTCCCACATGGACCTGGGGACTTCTGCATGGAAGCCAGCTGTGTTCTCTAGCTGCCCATGTGCTGTTCTCATCAGAGCTTCTGCATGGTGCATGGCTCTGAGACTATACCCGCTGGGCCTATGCGTTGCCTCTCCCCAGAGCCAGGCAGAGGGCCATCCAGTAAAAGCACCATGCCCTTTAGGAGGAGAACAGAAAAGGGGCTTGTCAGGAGGTCCCACCATAAGCCTGAGCTCTGCAGCCCCCAGCATGGGGTCGGGGACAGGGCCACCAATGGATCCTCTAGGAGTCCTGCAGAGGGCCATAGCTATGGAGAGTCCTGCAGCTGTGGCTATGATGGAGTCCTGCAGCTGTGGGGGGAGTCCTGCAGCTGTGGCTATGATGGAGTCCTGCAGCTGTGGCTATGATGATGGAGTCCTGCAGCCGTGGCTATGGAGGTCAGATGCTGTTTCCAACTGTCATACTTGAGCTTCCCCAGCCATGGCATTTGGGGACATAGTACTGGCAAACAATGTGTCTCCATGGACCATTTCACACACTCAAAGCAGAGTCTTGTCTCCAAACACCTGATCTGAGAAGCACAATTATCTCTGGGCTCTGGCCATGCCTCAGGTCTCCAGGGATTGCTCCAGGCAGCTGACTTCATTCTTGTTTATGGTTTGGATGGGCAGAACAGGGACCTTCTGTTAAAATGGATATATCCTGCAGGCATGCATGAACCAAGACAGCCAGTTGAGGCTCCAGGACACTGGGTCTGGAAGACATTGAGGCTCACCTGTTTTAGGGTTAGAACTGCCTCATGTATTTCCCTCCCCAGATTTCACAGACTGGCCCCCAACCTCTGGCATGGCCAGCATGGCCTTCTCAAAACAGTAATAAATCCTCTATGGCTATGGGTAGCTGGGTCTGGGCAGCTGCCCCCAGGTGTGTGTGTGTGTGTGTGTGTGTGTGTGAGAGAGAGAGAGAGAGAGAGAGAGAGAGAGAGAGAGAGAGAGAGAGAGAGGGAGGGAGGGAGGGTCTGGCCTGGCAAGCTGAAAACCTATGGTCCAGCATGCCCCCAAGGAAGAAACAACTCACCTAAGGCCCCAAACTCCTGGAAATCCATCCTTACCCCTCTGGGGAGGAAGCTGCCCTTGATGTATGTGAATCTCCTCTGTGTGCTTTTTTGGTGTCCTGAAAGGCTAGGGTGAAGGAATAGACCAAAGGGCTCAGGCTCTCCCAGGCATAGCAGATGATAGCCCAAATGGGCAGGTGGTAAGGGGTGAAGCAGTTGCCTGATAGGATGCCTAGGACCAAGCATCCCCTTCCTGTGGCCTGCCTGCAAACCCAGCCTTGCCTGTCTGGGACCTGCCTCCTACCCCCACTCCTTGCCTGGCTGGGACCCACTTGCTCAGAAAGTATACATGAGTTCTGGTGAGGTGTTATGAACCGAGTTAGCTGGAAGGACTCATGGAAGAAGTTCTGGGGCCTATAGAGAAGCAGGCGGTTTACCCCAGGCTAGGGTCTATCAGTGGCCATCACTCTGTAGCAGGAGACACAGGAGAGTCATGCTGGTCTTTATCTAGATGGGGCTACAGCCTTCAAGCCCATGCTGGAAGAGCTGCCACCTCTGGGGTACCTTGGGGAAAACCACCTGACCCACACTTGGGTCGGGTGTTCACTCTCCTGTGCATCACTTGCACCATGGAAACATATTTCCAGTCTCTCAGTGTGTGTGTGCTGGGGTGGGGTGGGGTAATCATCCTACAGGTATAGGCAGATTCAGCCCAGCCTTATGCTAGCTCCTAAAGATGCCAGGCCCTGGGACTGGCACTTGGGCCAGGAGGGTTCGTGTGCTGTGAGATATCAGACACCAGCTCAATAAAAGCCACCTGCATACCTGGAGCCTTCCATAGCTTCTGTCACCTTCATCTCCAGGCTTGGAGGACATCCTGTCTTTGCAGGATCCCTGTCCCCAATCATCCTTAAGGGCTCTCATGAAACACTTGTTCCAAATGGAAAGCATCTGTCCCAGCCCAGGAGGAACTAGAATAAACATTGCAACAGAATTTTCAAAGTATACAAAATTAGCAAGAAGCCTTTTCTTTTCCTTGTTCCTAACTAGCCAAAAACTACTCAGAATAGCACCAAGTGCCTCGGGCGCTTAGCCTGTGGTTAAGCGAAGCAATGACAGCAGCAGTGCCGTGAGGTGAGGGGCAGCCGGGACTGGCAGTGCTTCCATGGTGAGGGGGTTGAGTTGGGAGCCTGTGCAGTACATGAGGGTTTGCTGCAGGTTCTAGGCCGTCTCAGCAGCATCTATTTAAAGATGTGCAGTGACAGGCAGAGGGACGGATATGTAAGTGCCTAAGCGCTTAGTACAGAAAAGGAGGGGCAGAGATGGAGACCTAGGAAAGGATAAAACAGTTGCACATGGGAGTGACACCAATCCAGCTTTACATCTGCCACACTGAGGTCAGCTTCAGCCAGCCAATGACAAGACAGACATGAAGGAAGCATGGCATGACCCATCTCCCAGGTCCCTTACTCTACCCACTCCATATACCTCGTGCTGTGAGCATCTCCAGACAGGTTCCTGGGGGGGTGTGACTTGGTCTACCTCTGCCAGGACACCCACGCCACGCTGAGCCCCACCATGCTGACTCTCATCTCACAGGCACCATTAAGTCACATCTTAATGACCTCAAGGGGTTTCTCTGTGTAGCCCTGGCCATCCAGGAACTCACTCTGTAGACCAGGCTGGCCTCGAACTCATAGCAATCTGCCTGCCTCTGCCTCCTGAGTGCACCACCATGCCCAATGAGTCATGACTCTTCCACTTGCACACCTTCAAAGTCTCAGTACTTTTCAAATAACTGTCTCAGTGAGAAAGGGGGGGGGGGGCTCTAGGGGCAGTGTTCTGGAAGGCACTGTGCAGTGGCAGGTATCGGGGAAACCCCACAGAACTGCAGGCTGTGCTCACAGTGAAGTCCCAAGGCCTCAGTCTCTAACCTCACCACACATAGGACCTGGGACCTGAGGGGGCTCAATTAGAACCCCCAGGGGTGGGAACATCAGTAATCTAGCCTCAAAAACAGTTGGGTGTTGGCCACACCCATCTTCACCTCCTGTGATGTCAGAAGTTTTGTAGCCCTGGGCTGGGAGGTTCTAAGCAGAGCTCCTTTATATACCAGCACAATCCCTACAGCCTGAGCCTCTGCGGAAGCAGGTGCTCCAGGTCCTGTAGTGTAGCTTCCCAAAGCAACTGCAACTCACATAGGGAACCCACAATGCTCTAGCCTTGAGCTGGGGGTAACATCTGCCTATCTCGACAAATAGCCTCAACCCTGCCCAGAGCCCTAAGGGGAGTCATTGCCCATGCCCATGAAACTTTTTGTGGGCAACTCTGGGTATCTCTAAAAGGTGCCTGCCAGGGGTGGGCAGTTTGTACACACAGCAAGCCCCACCCAATCCTCTGTTCAGATCCTTTGCAACGAGACACATCCTAGTGTTTCCCTGACCTGGGGCCTGCTTCTCCTCCAAGTGGGAGCATCGGGCTCTACACACCTTCTTGGATCAACAGAGATGTCTTAAACAGCTGGCAGTGGTCCAGAAGACAGCAGGCACTGGGGCTACTGTCCATCCCCAGCTTCTGCCTAAAGCACATGTTCACTAACTGGGATGCAAAACAGGGCCATGGCCTTGTCTTCTGCATGGCTGAAGGCACTCTTACCTCAAACTCAGGGATGCTCTCAGAGATTGTGGGGCAGGTGAGTACTCCTTTCACCAGGGAAACTGAGGCACGGGCCCATGTTAAGCTCAGAGTAGCAAGGCACAAGCCTGGACTTTGAAAGTAAACTTCTTAGAACCTCCATCACCCCACCAGGTTAGACTGCTGGGGTAGCGATACCTTTGGGTGGTACCTACACTGACTCTCCATCTTGAGGTCCCAAGGAAACCACAAAGGGCAGCCAGGCTAGGACAGCCCTCTCCAGCCCCTCCCCCCAAAAGCAGCATCCGTGGTCCCTGCTCTGCTCACTCTCCTCAGGTGGAATCCTAGCAACCAAGAGAGGCTAAACTACAGGCCTAGCCAGGGCCCTGAACAAACACAATTAGCACATCGCACTGGCACAAGCAAATGGTGCAGGCTGCATTGCTGACCTGCGGAAGCTGGCTCAGCAGTTCTCAGAAGGCCTTAGCTGGAGGCACTGCCCTATCTCCCTGAAAAACATTTAGGTTTCCCAAGTATGTGAGAAGATGGAATCTTACCCACTATGGCACAATGAAGACACAAGCCAGGTGTGGTGGCACATACATTTGATCCCAGAATTCTAGTAGTAGAGGCCAGCCTGGAATACTCAGCAAGTACCCGCCCAGCCCAGACTACATTAGACCATGTAAAAGAAAAAAGGGGAGGGATGGGGTGGAGTGGGTAGAGGAGGGTTGCCTGAAGAGATGGGCCCAGTTAAGAGCACTTGCTGCTCTCCTAGAAGACCCAGGTTTGGTTCTAGTACCCACCTGGTAGTTCACATCCATCTACAACTCCAGTTCCAGGATACCCAATGCCCTCTTTAACCTCTGAAGGTATGTGTTACACTCCACAAATG